ACAAGTTTCTCCTACCAAAATGTGTACAGGCTAAAAGAAACACGTCCCAGGAACGTGAAACGAGAAAATAAAAAATAAAATAAGAATGGCTTTTTTTTTAATGACGTGCTGAACTTGAACAATATTAGAAATCTTCCCCCATGAGTTAATTTATTCCTCAACGTGAAAAAACAATAAATACATTACCTTGTATTCTGAAGATGGCAATGATATACGTACTGTCTGTGGTGTTAATTTAAATGCGGTACCTCAAACAATTTAGGCGAAAACAATTACCAAGCTTAGGCCAAATTATTGAACGTAAATTCGTGTTTGGACATTTCTGCGAAACTCATTTTGAATAACAATAATCATATCTTAAGACGACACTTACCTAGGCTGTACATAGATTATTCTTAAAAAGTTTAACGTCTCTACCATATTTAGCGTCGGCTATAGCGCGCTTCAAATATGGCACAAACGACAATCGTTAAAAACCCGTCGTCCTTCCTCGCTTTTTCGGGAATTTATTTCTTTAAAACAAAGCATGCCAGAACATTGAAATAAACGACAGTGTCTTTCGCAAGGAATGCAATGCCGCATGTAAAAATTCGAAAAAAAAAATGAAACGTTTACAATACCCTGTAACGACGAATTAGAGCGCAGCACTTGAGGAGAAGGAGGAGAAGGTATGAAGAGGAGGCTATGCCCCTCCTCCTCTCCTGCTCGCCTTCCATTTAGGGGAACATTTTCTGCTAAATTTGGCGGAGAGCCTTTCTCGCTAAAATTAGCGGGAAAAATTTCCGGCAAATTTAGCGGAGAAATTTTCCCGCTAAATTTAGCGGGGAATTTTTTCCGCTAAATTTAGCGGGAAACTTTTTCCGCTAAATATAGCGGGGAAAATATTCTGCTAAATTTAGCGGGGAAATTTACCCATAATGCACCGCGCGGTTACGCCGACGGCGACGGCGACGCCGACGCCGCTCAAGCCGGAAACGGGCGCCTAAGAGCTGCGCTCTAAAAAAATTACGAATGTACCTCACCGCTTGAATCCAAATGAAACCACCCACCGAACTCTGTAAGCACCTATAACAAGCCGACCTCGCGATAGCACAAGATGGAGATTCGTTTTCGTTTCGCCACTCCATCTTGAGCGAGCCTACTCAAATTCGCCGTTGCAAGTAGCGTCAAGACAACATTTCTCGTTCATCAGTGTTCTGTTACACCATAATTAATCACTGCGTTCAAAGGCCGCTCAGTACCGTATCGATTTTCAAAAACAAAACTTAAGAATTCAGGTTTTTTCCCGTTTGTTTTAGAGCGCAGCTCTTAGGGGCCCGTTCCCGGCTTGAGCGGCGTCGCCGTCGGCGTCGGCGTCGGCGTCGGCGTCGGCGTAACCGCAACCCTCGTAACCCTCGTGAGGGTTATGAGGGTTACGAGGGTTAATCTCATGAGGGTTACCCTCACGAGGATCACGAGGGCCACGAGGGTTACTTACCCTCGTAACCCTCACGAGGGTTACGAGGGTTAGTTACCCTCAAAAGGGTTACCTTCACGAGGGTTACCCTCACGAGGGTTACTTACCCTTGTAACCCTCACGAGAATTACGAGGGTTAGTAACCCTCGTGAGGGTAACCCTCGTGAAGGTAACCCTTTTGAGGGTTACGAGGGTTAGTAACCCTCGTGAGGGTAACCTTCACGAGGGTTACCCTCACGAGGGTCACGAGGGTTATGAGAGTTACCCTCACGAGGGTTACTCACCCTCGTAACCCTCACGAGGGTTACGAGGGTTAGTTACCCTCACGAGGGTCACGAGGGTTATGAGAGTTACCCTTACGAGGGTCACGAGAGTTGCCCTCACAAGGGTTACTAGGGTTACCCTCACGAGGGTCACGATGGTTACCCAGGTCGTGACCCCCCCTGGGGTCACGTGACCTGGGGATACCCCCCGAGGTCACGTGACCCCCCGTTGACGTCATAGGCACTGATGACGTCGTCAGTGACGTCACTGGTGACGTCACCGGCATCCGCATCGTCATCGTCATCATCACTGATGACGTCATTAGTGACGTCACTGATGACGTCACCGGCATCCGCATCGTCATCATCATCACTGATGGCGTCATCAGTGACGCTACTGATGACGTCATCGGTATCGTCACGTGGCCCCAGGTCACGTGACCCCCCGACGTCACGTGACGCCCCAAGGTCACGTGACTCCCACAAGGTCACGTGACCCACAAGGTCACGTGACCCCCAAGGTCACGTGACCCCCCGCCCCCCGAGGTCACTTGACCCACCCCCCAGTACCCTTCCCTCCTCCTCAAGAGCTGCGCTCTAATTCGGCGTTACAGGGAGTTGTAAACGGCTTTTATTTTTTTTTAAACAAGATCATGCTTTATCAAGCAAAAAGTGTCGGGCTATTTAGAGCACGGTTTTGAAGTTGCTGTACAGCAAACGCTTTTCGCCGTGTTGAATTGTGGCGGTGGTGGGAAAATTGATAAGTCATTTTCTCGACAAGAAAAGGGAATGAAATTAGGTAATATTTTATGAGATCGTTGCAGATAAGGAATTGTGAGCGTTAGAACAATTTTACTAAGCGTTCACGCATGCGTGACGCCGCCATAACTGTAGTTCATAGGAGTCAGACGCCAGTTCACGAGGCAGCTCGAGCCGCATCGCTCTGCTCGCGTAGACCCTCAACGGGGTTACCGACCGCACAGAAAGACTACAGTTCCCACGATGCATGGCGGCAGTGGTAACGTAATAAAACTGGATTTGAAATTGGTCTATTGACAATAATGAAAAAATATTGGTCTATTGATTGTCTGGAAAGAGCCAAGGCGCTTACGCTAGACCTTTTCATTCCGGTGGCACATCACTGCAGACATAGGGTAACTAACTCAGATGGGCTCTTGAATTAGTAACACTGTATTGCGGGGGAAACACTTAGCTGCCCGATTTCTGGCCGGGGTTGCTAGACTCTCGGCATCTTTAAAAAGTTAAAAAGGGTTCACTCCAAGTATATACACGAACTCCGCTCTGTTACGTCACGGCGCGGTGGTGGCGCGTTGGGCGCACTTCCGGTCTGTGGCTGTGGGCGGAAGTCACCATGCGGGACGTACATTCCTGTGTTGTTTTCGGAAGATACCGGACAAAGACCTGCTTTTTCGTCAAGACGCTTTAACTGGGGCTGTACTAAAAGAGGCGCGAGGAGCCGGCGGCGTGTGTAACCGCGCAAAAACGCTAAAGTAATTCCGAGGAGCCGGCTGCGTCTGTAACCGCCGTAGTAACCGCGAAGAAACGCGACAGAAACTCCCAGCCCAGCGAAACGGCTCCTATACAGCCTTTAGCCGAGACCGTGGCCGGGACGAGTATTGGGGAGGAGGACAGACCGTGACGCCCCAAGCGGTTAACCTAACAACTACACGGATGGGGACAACAAATACAGTGACGCAGCGTTCGGCCGACATAACCGAACGCGGCTTCAGCGTTCGGCTGGAGTTCGTGTTCTCCGGCGAAGGGGAGGAGGGGCTCTTCTGTTTCCACTCGGCCTGCATGAACAATGCAGCATGCACGATCCCAGCTCATCACAAAAGCCGAAGTGGGTCAAGCTCGCATTCTCTGAGGATAGATCCGGCACTTAACGTCGCTTCGTCGATTGTTAGTATTTTTTTTATTAAACTGCGCCCCGCGCTCCATTGTAGAAGATGACATGGCCATGCCCATAAGGCCTGTCGGCATGTGCACAGGCCTTGTGTTGAGTAAACACCGAGCGTGGGGAAAACAAACGGGTCAGAGCGCCCCCTATAGTTCGATCTCCTGCCCAATAGTTCCAAGGAACGCCACCCCACAGAGAAGCCCTCCTCCTGGCGCTCCGGCCTGCACGCCAGGAAAAAGCGCACTCGGCCGTCGCTCTTGTGTCAGGCATTGCTGGGTAAGGGGAAGGGGGGGGGGGGATTCTTCTGCTCTTTTCGCCGCCGAGAAGCATCGCGACGCCTGAGGCATCTATACCGTCGGCGGCCGCATCCTCGGCAGTAGCGAAGCCGTCTACGCCAGTACACCGCAGACGAACTAAAGGATCGGAAGAACGACATTCATGCTTTCGCATTCACAACTCATAAGAAGTGCTTAGGTGTCCTCGGAATTTTTTTTTCTAACACGGAGCGAGTAGAAGCGTTCAGGTTATAGTATGGTAGTTTAGCGGCTTCAAATGTGAAATAATTTGCGGCAGAAATTACACTCGGTAGCAAGATTACCTCCATGGCGGGTATGTGATGCAGTGAAAGCCATGGTGCAATTGTATGCAGCACGTGTGTGAATGTAACTTTGGCAAGCTTGCAATTGCACGCGTTTTGTTACACGTGCCAAAGCATTTCGTGCGAGCCCGCTGTCTCTCCAGTCACTGCTGCGCAGGTTTGAACGTGTTACGTCAGTTCAGTTGTGACGATAGTGCTAGAAACAATAGCTACCCCACTTGTGATTTGCACCAAAGCAGAGCACTGTGCCGTGATTAATTTTGTGTGGTATGAGGGTGTGTCTGGTGCCGATAGTTTGTGCACAGTATGAAAAAAAGTGCTTTGTCGCGAAGACGTGTGTTTGGGTGGGTGCTGAAGTTCAAGGAAGGATGCACAAGTGTCAGCAACGAAGAAAAAGCCGGACCCCCGTCAGCGTCCACAGCTGATGACAACGTTCAGAGTGCGCGTGAAGCGACTCTGTCGGATAAACGAGTGACAGTGGTGGATGTGGCAAGTCATTTTAAAATCTGCCGAGGATCTGCCAACGCAGTGGTCCATGACAGACTTGGGTTTTGAAAAGTTCGTGCGCGTTGGGTATTGAAACATTTGTGCGGATAAGTTTTGAAATCCTATCGTATGTATAATTGCGTATACTAAAATACGTATATACTTGCATGTAGTAAGACACGTACATAGTTTCAAGGTTTCTAAAATCTCTTTTATACAGCAAGCTTCCCTTCCCACCCTTTTTTTTTTCTACAGAAAAATTGCTTTGTTTTAGACATGAGCGGCTCACCAGACGTCGAATCTGGATCTGTTACACCCGAGTTAGTGCCCCAACCAGAAAAGAAGGTCGAGCTGGATGTGGGCGGCGAAGAAGAACCCGGGGAAGAAGTTGCAGGGGACGACGGAGGGCCGAGCGTCGGAGTGGCGGGGAGCACCGTCGACAAGATCCAGTTCCGGAAAGCCATGGACTCCATCATGGTGGCCAGGACGGGGCGAGGACCGTCAGTACATTTTACAATCATCCAGGTCGCGTACACACTTTTCGGACGCCAAGGTCCCGCGTTTATTGTTCAAATGGGAGCTTCGTAGTGGCTTCAGACAACAGTTCAGAGCAGTTTTTTTTTTTTTTATCGTCTCCAAGCGAATGAGATTTGCTGCTTTAGCCGACAAGAAAGCCCAAGAACGAGTAGCGAGCCAAGAAACGTGGACGATGATGAGCCATCCCTGGGTTCCTTTGAACAAACGTCGGAGGACAAAAAGAGTCTGTTGGACGCGGAAGGTCGACGTCCAGTGTTTGACTCTCGCATTCAAACGCGTTCGACGAGTGCAGTGGAGAAAAAGGCAGCTATTGGGAGAGCGAGTCATCTGCTTCTTGCGCAGGGGTTGCGGCGACTTCAGAACGACACCGAGTTCGGATTGGCTTTGATTGGAAAGATAGTGGGTAGAATTCAATGCTGGATGCCTTGAGGTCTACTTATATTCTGTTTCAATTAGCCAATAAAAGCTCGGCGTTCTGACGTCATCGCAACCCATGTGCAAGAAGCAGACGAACTTTGACTCCGCGTAGCTTTAAGTCTAGCCCCTGATCGTTCCAACCAGAGCTCGGAGTTCTGACGTCCGCACGCGCTCCAGTCTCTTCCGCGGCAGCTTAAGCCGACACCTACCATATAAGAAAGCCTAAGCGCTCACATTTCCTGCGTCTCTAGAGAAGGCCCCAGTAGGTCAGATGTTGGACACGATTACGGCGTCAGAGTTCGGCTATAGGAGTCGTGTTCTCACTGATTGGACAACAGGACCCAGCCAAACGCTGACGCAGCACTCGTGTTTGATCTGTGTCTGCGTTCATAGTTCATAGTGATAACGTCAAAAATGCAAGTGCCGGGGCTTTGGTCATTCTGGGCGGTATTCGTTTAAGTCAGCAATATCTTTCGTCTTCCAAACAACGCCGTCGAGCCGACCGTCTCCCAGACCGCGCCATTAATTAGGGCTCCGCCTAAATGTTCACTTTGTTCCGCGATTACCGCGACATGCAACAAAGTAGCAAAGTCGGTTGTTTTGGCACACGCATCAATGTAGTTGTACAATACAAACACTATTTTTTTAGAGACCAAAGACGAAAGATATTAATGCATTGCCCTAATTTGGACAACTGAACCTCATGATGTTGAAACCCTGAGAATGGGATATACTAGAGGAGACAGAGGAAAGGTGACCGCCAAGTTTGTCACCTTTCTTTTGTGTCCTCTATAATATATATTCAAGTTTCCTTCCCAGTCTGGTGGTTTAAACATCATGATTAATACGCACCTCTCCTGCACGTTGACCATTTTTGTTTCAACTCAACCTCGTTGGCCGAACGCAGGATGTGCGTTTTGCCTTCGTGTGAATGTGCCGGACAACCATAACCAGTCATACCGTCGAAGATCGAGCGCTAGCCGATGCTTCTTTCTGTCGCTGACGACGAAACAGAACTTGACTGAACGGGAAAACACTGTCTTCATGCGTAAGACATAATCGCACAAGGCGACGGTTGAGAACAGTGGGAGCCTCACCAGACTTCGGAACTAAAATACAGGATATATATATATATATATATAAAAGATACGGGGTTTTAATAACTGCAAAAATAAAGTATACGCATCGCCGGTCGTCCATTATCGGCCCAAATGTAGCACTAGAGAGTTTACCCAGATGCCAACGTTTCAAAGATAACAGAGTCCTTATTCAAAAGTTAAAAGCGAGTTTTAGAAATTTTCAAGAGGAAAATGGCAGCCAGACGGAGCTCTCAAATGCTACACAACGCCAGTTAAAAAAAAAAAAAAAAAACGAGAAAAAAAAAAAAAAAACGGGCGAAAACGGGCCTTATTTTTTCCATTGAAAGTTTCAGAAAATTGCGTATAACTTTTGAATGTGATGCAGGTTAGTTCTGAAACTTTTCCATTTGGTTCAGAACGCTAGCGCTGAATTTTGTAGGAGATTGCGCATTCGGCGAATCGTAGTTTATTTTTGAAAAAAAGAAAACCCTGTAGTTTTTTTTTTAACAACCTGTGCAAATAGGTGAAACCGCTCCGGCTCACGCCTCCTAGGTGGCATTATTCCGCTTCTTACATTAGCAAAAGGCAATGGCTTCGCCCTTTAGAAAACGGCTTTCTGCGCATGCGTGGAAATGGCCTTGTTCACAAACAATTAGTTGATTTATAGCTGAATCTGCGTTGCATCGCACCGTTCTCCGGCCTATCTTGCCGGGCGTTCCCGGCCGTTCAAGAGCGCTACGCTTCACCGCGCAGGGCAGCCGTGAAGGCAGGCCAAGATGCGGCCGAGGCCCAGAAGAAGATGCTCATCACCGCAGTCGTCATCGTGGGAATCCTTATACTTATACTGGCTCTCGGCGCCTTCGTAATAATCAAGATTGCCGGTGAGAGACTTTGCACGTAGCTACGATGAGTTCATGCGTTGGTGGCTAGCGCGGATAATACGAACTAAAACAGGCCGGCAATGCGAAACCCGAATGATATAAGGCTGTCATTCCCGTTCCCGCATCGCCGACCTTGGGCCGACTGCACGAGTGGTGACTTTAGCGCTCACTCGCGCTTCCTACGCGCTTCGAAGCCGTCCTAAACTGATTTAAGGGTTTTCGATGACGCACAGCAAGTTCCCAATTGAAACCACGTGTTCATTTTTACTCACTAGAAAGTAATCATAACGTTTTAGGTAATTCGTTCACTATTTAGTATGTTTTTTTTTTAATTACTCGACGTCCGCCGTGGCTGGCGATTTGTTCCCGAAAATAGTTTATTTTATCTCACCCTCCCTATCTTAAAGAATTTATGAAAGTCCTTGGTAGAAACACCCGGTATCGACCTTTTCTACGCGGCCGCCGCCATTTTGAATCGCGGAGCTTCCGGTGTGCGAGAACATATCGTTTTGTTCTCGCAACACCACTGGGACGAGCTCACGTGTAAAGACGACTGTATTGCCTTTTTTATATTATTTTACTTGTTCCAAACTGTCTTGCCTTGCATTTCTTTCTTTTTTTCGTGTGCCGGAAATGTTATTTCCGGCATACGAAAAAAAAAATTTTGGGGACGACGGTAAATGAAAATGGTCCTCATAAATAATTGTTTTAGCACGACTTGTATAATTTTTTTTGATATTACAGGGAACGCGCGATATAGCAACAAATTATTTCAATAATCTACTGATCGTATTTTTATAGTATATCTGTTATTAAAAAATAACTTGATATATTTGAATGCAATTTCTAACGGAAGGTGAAAAATGAGTAATTACTATTTTAAACCCGAGAAACTTATAACTGTAAGTCGTTAAACGTTACTTTTTTGAGCGGCGTGCACCGCTCAAAATTTCTATACACTATATATATTTTCGTGATTGACCCTTAAACATCTAAGAATTAGCGGCCTGCATTGTTTGCTTGTTCTAAAGCTAACCCCGTGAATTTCTTATTTGACAGGAGATGCTGAGACCACTACTCAAGGTAAGTATCGCAATTTGAGCCCAACTTTAGACACCCCCCCCCCCCCCCCCCCCCCCGACTTCCCGTTTCTGAAGGAACAAAAAAGAATAAAAAGTTTGCTTTAAATTTCAACGCGATGATTAGAGAATTCAAATTGCCGAGTCTTAAAAGTTCGTTTGCTGTCACTGGCGACCAAAATGTTGCAGTACCCCACGCTGACTCGGTGCATTTTGTTATCCTTTCTTGAGATTTTACTGACCGCCACAGGTCAGTACGCTACAGACCCCAAGGGGGTTTGTAGCGTCCAGAAGACGCGACCACAAAAGAGCTGCCTCCGCTAGCGTCCGCGAGACACGACCATTTAATGCTGACGCGAAGACGCCTTCTAGTGTCCCATCATGCACGATCTACAGTAACGCCTCTCAGCATCTCTGCACGCGCTCTAATGAAGCATTTCAAAGGGTGCAACCCGACGCACAAGGAAAACGCGACCAAAACATCTCCTATTTTGCCCGCCAGGGGCGCTACTGAAAACTTGAGAGCTACAGGTCTATGCGGGGCGGAAGTTCGTCTTCTTCTTTCGCGCAGGTTGTGGTGACGTCAGAACGCCGAGCTCTGATTGGCTCTGATTGAAGGACAGTGGGTAGACCTCAAGGGAGCTTGCTTCGAGGTCTACCTACTATCCTTCAATCGGAGCCAATCAGAGCTCAGTGCTCGGACGTCACCACAAGCCCTGCAAAAAGAAGCAGGCAAACTTGCGCCGCGCATACGAGCTGCTAGGAGGTGCCGAAAGCGTCGATCGTCTGCGAAGTTCTAAGCCTTTCCTCCTAGCCATGCGAAAACGCCGCGCATGCGCACTTGCGACCAATCTCCACAGGAGGCGTCCGCTATTAAATTTCAAACATTCACTATGGTTTAGGATGGACCTGGTCTTTAGTCTAGGCTCTCTGCCACATGCACCACCGCTACTAAGCCGCCGCCAAGATCGTGGCCTCCGACATGGCGCTTCCGTGACGTCGTATGGGTCCATTTCTTAGGAAGCGGTAAACACACCAGTCGCAGGCGCGTTTTTGGTACACTATATATAAATTGAAACGAAGTATAGCGGAATTCCGGGCGTGGAATTGGCAGTGAATAACGTACCCTTCGCCTCATGGGCCTCTTACGCTATTTGTTGTTATACAGTATGGCGCCCCGTGCATTCACGAGGGCGCCCATCAAACCACTCTGCCATCTTGGCCGCGAGGCGGCTATGCAGTTGCTTCGCCTCAGACACGATCGCATGGTCGTGTCGCCGGGGGGTCGATTGGGATCTCGAATTCGGCTCCCGACGTGCCGCTTTCTCTCCTAGCCGCTGGATGGTGCTGCAGGCGCCCCAGTCCGGGCGTCGAAAAACCTTTTCGCCCGTCGATCGATATAGCCGGGGGACCGAGAGGCAAAAGTCTCTTAGTACTCCGGGAAGGCACCGAGAACAGGCAAGTGTGTGCGACCGGATCTAGGGTAATCGCGGGACACGAGGCCTGGGGCCCTCTTTGTGTTTAACTCGGACTTTACGGGCGTTTGTAAATGTATGTGTAATGTCGTGGGGTAGTTGTAGTTTAGATGAAATGTTTTGTAGCGTCGTGCTTTTTTGTACCTTTTGCCTCCCGGTCCCCCGACTATATCGATCGATGAGCGAGGAGGTTTTTCCTCGCCCGGACTGGAGCGCCTGCAGCGCCATCCAGTGGCTAGGAGAGAAAGCGGCAAGTCGGGAGCAGAATTCGAGATCCCAATCGACCCCGCGGCGACACGACCATGTGATCGTGTCTGAGGCGAAGCAACTGCGTAGCCGCCTGGCAGCCAAGATGGCAGAGTGGTTTGATGGGCGCCCTCGAGAATGCACAGGGCGCCATAACATTGAATGTGGCCGTCTCGCAAGGGGCGGATTTTCCGAGAAACAGCGGGCGAGGCGCCGTAACGGCATCAAATACAGTCTTGTCTGGCATTATTCATGGTTCCATACTCCAAAGTCAGTAATAGCGATGCTGGCGCATGACTTGGCATAAGCCCTCCTCGTGTGAAGCGGCCTTTATCGACGAGTTATTTTCAAGGTGTTCTCGTTGCCCTTTTTGATGTTGTCTTTCGCAGCTGCTACTACAACTGACCCTTCTCTTAAACAATCTTCAACCAACCTCAACGAATGTAAGTAAAAAGGCACAAAGAAGTTACTTTAGTAGTTTGTAGCACTTCTTTTATGTGTTGGCGGCATGGTATTGCAATGGTCGCAATATGACAGTTGGCTTCATATCTTAGCGTATTGAAAGCGCCCCATATGGCATTTTGCCCCTTTCGACTGTAGACGTTTTCACCTCAAGGACCCTAGTAAAATCTAAAAAAAAGTCCGGCTCCTCACGGAGCATTACTAATTTCCCCCTTTATGTTGAGAATTATGATAAATGTAGGAAAATGTTAGATTACGTATGTACGTGATATCTTATCAAAACGTGCACGTTTCAAACGCCAGAAGCAACGCTTATAAACGATGCGTACATTTTTTTCTTGATTGTTAAAACGAGTGCAGTAGTATAGTATTGACCAGCTTATATTTCCACTGACTGTACGTCCTCCAACATCATGAAATACACACTCGACTAGACAGTTTCAGGCGACTGTGCCGTATTTGCTTCGGTGAGGATCGCCTATAGACATTTCCCAAAAAGAGCTCTCCGGGCGCCACCATTCTGCGACTCTCGCGATCCGTATTGGCCATAAATTTCTGCAACCCGCCTGAGCACTGAAAACCTGGTCAGCGCGACTCACCACCTGCGTTGAGCATCATTCAGAGTTCGCCAGCCTTTCTTGAAAGATTTTTTTTTACTTTACTTTTTCAAGCTGGTTACCCTTTCTTGTGTTATTTTTCACAGCGTGGCTCGTAGCAGTGTACTCGAAACATGCTCGGCATTCGAAAAAAAAAGAAAAGAAAAAAAAGTATTGTCCAACGGTTTGCGACGACGGATGGGGTACGAGACAAAACACACGTCCGTTCCTTTGCTTTTGTGCGCTGCGAAGAACAAGCTCTTTTATACCGCGCCCTATAAAACAAGTCCGAATTCCGTCTACATATGGTGTGTTATTTGAGATATTTCTCAAATAAACCGTGTTCAGATAACGAGGCACCGTGGAGTACGTACGGTGTGTTGTTCGATTGTGAGACTCGTTGAATTTCGTGCTGTGAGAGGCGAATACCAATGCCTTTCGGCTATTGTGTGTGGGAAACTATTTTCGACAGTTAAGATCTTTGTAGATTGACACGGGTGAGCCTTTGGCGGCGAGAAAAATCTGCGTAAAATAAAACAAACATTCCACTTGCATTCGTTTTGTCGCGCACGAACTTTATTCGTTTATGTCCAAAAGATGATACAATGCTTTCTTAAAGGCCTCGAGAAATTATATTCGGCAGAAAAAGAGAAAAGACAAAACGTTCGGAATTGCGCCGACGCAAAACGTCCGGAATCGCGCCTATGCAGGCTGCCAAAGTCCATTTACGAAACAAAAAGAAAACCCACAGCCCAGCGTAGACGGGCAACACTGACGTACAGTCTCGAAACCAGGGACGCGCGTTGTATAAACCGCCTCGTTAAAGGCGCTGTGGCATACGCAATGCAAAACGTCATGCTTGCATTGCGTAATGCCACAGCGCAGACTTTATTTTGAGGTCTAAACAGATGTTCCGCCTCATAATTCGCTGAGCTGATTTCGTAGATCGCAGAGATTGGCTCTTCGAGTGTTTTGCGGGTAAGTAGACGCGCAGGCATTTCTTAGGGTGTATGCTTAGACCAAAAAACGCAGCCTGAGTTGTGACATTAAGCAAAATGTCTCGCGTGCATTGCTTAACGTCACAACTCAAACTGCGTTTTTTGGACGAAACGTATGTTTCGGCATCGTCATTCGCTGAGCTGCCTCTGTAAGTTGCGGTAATTGGCTCTCCGACTGTTATGCGGGAAAGTAGACGCAGTGGCTTTTTTGGAGTGTACGTATGCGAGCGCAACGCACACATATTGGAGCGTGACGCAGCGAAGAGCCTTCTTCGCAGTAAAAGCGCACTACGGTGATACGTAGCCACGTTTCGATTGGCCCGACAAGGTCGTAGCTTCAGCCGTATACTGGCGTGTTATGCGATCACGTCTTTCTGGCCTACCCAGTATTTCTCGCTTCAGACGCTAGGATAATCGGTGCCACCAAAGTAATAACTCACATTCGAAGCAGCCGCCACTCCCAGGCATACCCAATGTTTCTTGCTTCAGTCGCTAGATAACGCAAAACAAAACAGCATTGCAGCTTGCTTATACGTCAGTGCTCAGCGTGTATGCCCTCTAAAAAAAGTCTGTGCCTCTACTTTCATGCACAACACTCGGAGAACCAATCACCGCACCTCACGGAGGAAGCTCAGCGAATGACGATGCCGAAATATATGTTTAGACAAAAAAAAGAAAAAGAAAAAAAAACGCAATCTGAGTTGTGACATTAAGCAATGCGAAACGTCACGTTTGCATTGCTTAACGTCACAACTGAGACGGCGTTTTTTGGTCTAAACATATGTTTCGGCATCGTCATTCGCTGAGCTGACTCCGTGAGTTGCCGTGATTGGCTCTCCGAGTGCTGTGCGGGAAAGTAGACGCACGGGCTTTTTTTAGAATGGTACTCCGTTTCACTTTAAGTATACGACCGCAGCCAAAGTCACGACCCGACGGAGCCGATCACCGAGCAGCGCGAAACGTACTTCGGCGCTTTGCTCGTTGTCTTGGGGGGTTTTCAATCGCCGCGACTCAACCCTTATCACGCACAAATAAAAAAAAAAAAAAAGCTGATACGATCGCGGCGCTGTACGTGATTGGCTCAGTCGGGGATAGAGCAGACTCGAAAAGGCATCGAGTGCCGTGACGATGCACTTTTTTTCGCTGCTTGATTGGCACCATGAGATCCAGCGTGGGCAGTGATCGCGGGCCTGCAGTGAAACGAAGTGTGTCATTCACATACCACGCGCTCTATGTTCAAGACATAATCATCTCATGCCAGTGTTCTACTAGATAAAGCGTTGACTTTTTTCTCATCACTTCTCTTTGCGACCTCTAGCTACCCCTCTATCTAATTCCACAGTCCACGGAAGAATTCTCTTCAACGCCCTCATTCCAGTTGCGGAAAACGGTGAGGAAGAAATGTGTGTGAGAGGTTTGCATGCGTGTAATTGTGTCGGTCGCGCAATTTTAAAATGTTGAATCTGCCCGAAAAGAAGAAAAAGTTAATATCTTGGATGGTTTTTCGCACGTTACAGAACGCTAAAATAATACCGGAACGCTGAGCCAGCGGCGTAGGAGGGATGTGAAAGCTCCAACGTCACACGTTAGCTGAATGATAAATTGTGAACTAAGTTTTTTTATTTGCGCGCAAATGTTCACTTAACACGGAGCACAAAGTCGTCTGCTTTTTATGCAGGAGCTGTGGTGACGCCAGAACATCGAGCTCTGATTGGTTCTAAATGAAGGATAGTGGGTAAACCTCAAGGCAGCTTGTTTTGAGGTCTACTCACTATCATTCAATCAGAACCAATCAGAGATAGGCACGCTGACGTCACCACAACCCCTGCCAAGGAAGCAGACGAACTTGCGCTCCTCATTGCTTTGCTTCTGCTATAACGAAGCCTGTGCTAGCAAAAAAATAAAATAAATGGTTGCATGAAACCAAACAAATCACCTCCGGCGGCTGCGTGCGTAACGTGCACTAGTCTACACAGCCTGAGTTTGTAGATACACAAATCACAGCCGAAAGGCCAACAATCTGATGAAAAGTGATTGCTGCATAGGTATACCGGATCGCCGAAATTTCGCGTGTATTTTGGGAGATTGTGAGTCGATCTAAATGAATTATCACTCCCACGCCCTAAACTTTTCTGTAGCCTTTGTGACTTTGGGAAGTAAATAGGTTTTAGCCGCCTCGATGACTCCCGATGGTTTCTTTATGCGGATCGTTCAATTCTCAGTCCATGTCATATTTTAGTTGGACACCTCCTCACGTGGTCTACGATCTTTTTTTTTTGTCGTTGATTTGTTGGAGTGTATCAGACGCCTTTGCTGGTTTAACAGTTTCAAATTTAAGTTTTGAGAACATTGTATACTGCGCAACACTGTTAGCACGAACACAAGATCGGCACTTTTTTTTTTATTATTTTACTTCTGAACTATGTTCGTGGTCTTTAAGTTTCAGTTGTTAACTTAGTGCTCTATACGAGGACTTCTCAACACACTAATACATTAACGACAACCACTCAATTAAAAAAAAAGAAAAAAGATTGACGATTATTTGTTATTGCGCGTAGTGTAAATTTCACAGAATCCGCTGCTTGACGTTTTCAAATATACTACTTGAAATGCTCGAGAAAAAACAACAACAACTGGGAAGTGTAGTAAGTTGGGCGAGTTGGTATGATGACATGATGAACAGAACAGCGCACACAAAGACAAGGACAGAGAAAAGGAACAGCGCTTGTGTGTCCTGCATGTTCCTTTTCTCTGTCCTTGTCTTTGTGTGCGCTGTTCTGTTCAACAACTGGGAAGTCATATTCTACGGCGCGAGTGAGACGGAAACTCGTGTTCTTTCTTCTCCCCTCTCAGAGGTGGGACGGAGAAGGAGGAGTCTTCTCAAAGCCCTCGGGAAAGACGAGAACTTCGACATATTCCGCGGCGACTACTGTGAGTGAATCCACATGTCTCTATCTGAGAGCTTATGAACCGCAATTTCTTATCAAATTACATGTCCACTTGAAAGTTCGAGCTATCTGAACCTCCGTACAGCCGAACCTTGCACTAAGGAAGTTTCACCGGTCTTCATATCTGTGTTATTTGGGTTTAACGCCTATACTTCATTATTTTGGGTCATGCCAACATTGTAAACATGCCTTGGCTCAAACAAAATGACTACCATGTTTCCAGGTACTTTTTTGTATAAAAAACTTGAGAATAAATAAAAGTCTAACAATAACCAAATGTGTGAATGAGTTTGAAAGGTGTGTTTCGTCGATATTCGACCGTAAAAAGGTTCGTCTAATTAAGCCAATGAACGAAGTTCAATGAAACCTTTCACAGAAGGTTGTTATACTCAAATTCAATGAGTGTTAAGTCCCAAAATAAATCACGAAAAACGATAAAAAAAAAACAAAGAAAAAGAATCTTGAATTTGTGTGCACAGGAAAAAAAAGAAAAAAAAAAAGTCTCCTTGTCGCTTATACTCACACATAGCATCGCGTGAAACAAAAGCTTGAAAACTTTTTTAAAATGAGCACCCGAAAGCGGATCGAGAAGATTCGAGCGCTTGTGGTACGATCTGTAAATGGCAACCTTAATCAGATTTCCTTTTTTTTTTTTTCTAATTTTCCTGTTTGTGCAATAACAGAATGTTTTTGGTTTGAATTTTAGAAGCCCGCACTTATAATTTTTTTCAGTACGGTAAATGCACCACCTAAACACACCGTATGAAAAGATTCAGTACCCCTCGTTCATTGGCCTATTTTTACGAATTTTGTTTGACGTGCATAATACGTAGTGTAACAAATAATTGTTCAATAGAAAGTTATTTAGTAGCAGAAGCATCACGCCTGAAAGATATGTAAACCTAGCGGTGGCAATTAAAAAATTAAAAAAAAAAACGACTTATTTGCATGCCAGAAAAGCGGATCGAACTCAGTTAATAGTGAAACGAGAACACCCAGTATAGACCATTCCATTTAGCGCTCTCTGGGCGGCAAGCGGGTTCGGCGGGGTAAAACGAGAGAGAGGGCACGCACCCGACTCCGCTAGCAGACGACAAAACGGGAGGTTGCCATTCTCCATCTTTGGGCTGTATCGGCGGGCTGTACGGAACATCGAACTCTCGCTCGTGGCTGCCGTTGTGAAGTGGTTCGCGTTCTTAGAATAGTTGTGGCTACTCCAAAATAAGCCTAGAGCTCTCTGTTGTTCTACTTCGGTAAATGATCAACTGACATATTTTTTTTTCGTTAATTAAATAGCAGTTGAGTCAGCCGGCAGTACTACCCTCAACTACTGCGTGTATTGCGGCAGGAGAGCACGTTTCTATTTATTATTTCAGAGTTCCACTCATAGTCGCTAAAGGCCTACTCCAGTACGAACTTTGTATAGTAAAAAAGGTACAGCCACCGGATTCACTTTTCGCCGGAGAGACCGGCCAGTCTGACACAGTTTTCCCTAACTTTTTTTTTTATTTGCACGCAGATAACAGCGAAATTGAACTCTGTTTGTCTTTTTTATCTAGAATAGTAATACACGATAACTGGAATATCAAAATGTGCGCCTCTGCTCTTGAAATTCCCAAAATGACGCGATTTAAAAACAGAGTTTGTACGCCAGCCGAATGCTAGATACTGCCCACTCGGCGGAGCAGACAACATGCGGGCGATAGGGGGAGGGCATTTTTTTCTCTTTTTACCCTCTCTGCTATGACCCTAATGGAACGGTCTATATCTGTCGTAATTACGGGAATTACAAGAATTGTTTAAAGTGTCTCCAAACCAGTGTTTTTTCATATCATAGATGCGAATCTTGTATAACAGTATCTCTTCCATAAAACTAAGCAAACAGTTTGGTGGTTTAGACGTCTAAGTTACATGTAAAGTAACAAGTACTAGAGATCGGACATAGCTTATCCGGATGCAGAAAGAACGCACGCACGCTACTAACTGCAATTGGTTACGAACGTTGCACTAATAGTGCATTTTTTTGTGAAAATAGTTTTATATGACGTCTACACTAAAAAACAAACAAAAAGAAAACAAAAACAGAGAGACTGAGAAGAGGTAAGGTCAGGACCGTCTGCACGAGTAAACTGTGATAGCAATTAAATTTGTGTTCTTGATTAAAACACCTGCTATAGGTGGCCGAAACTGCTACCCGATTAACGGGGCTTAGCGGCATACATCCATTAATTTATTCATTTTGCTTACCATATATTATGCCCTTCTCTTTTGACGGTGTGCAGTCCCTTACCTGTCAGGCTTCTCCGCATAGAGAACACTGTGGTTGCTATATATGTGCCTTTCGTTCAGTTTAGAAAAAGCCATCCGTTACGACATGCCCAGATGACGACATTGTTCACCGATGACGATATACATAATTTTTGGGGCTAATTGACCCAGAGTAAACTTCAGGTTTGCTACGGCAAATCTGTCCTGCTACACGTAACAAAAAAAAAAATGTTCAAAAGAGTTGTTTATGTAAAACCCACGCAAAGACCCACGCCTAAAGGATCTGCTTTGCATGCGCTCTTCTGGGGTGCAAAACTGTGTCCGCTAAAAGTTGGAGGGAGTCGTGTTTGTTGTGGACAGTTCTTCTAGCCTGTCTAGCCCAGAAATGATCGAAACCATTAAATGTTTAAGACACAGGATAACTGGGCTAGTTGCCATGGGTTCACGTTGAAACAACGCAAATGTTACACGGACGGAGGGAAGAAGTGGATGATACAAGCGCTGACTAACATCTGAGAGCTTCTTCTGCAGATAAACCGAGGAGAAAAAACATTAAAGGACACACGACTTTCTAATCATGATGCAATGGCGCCAACCCACCACAGAATTGGGTGCCATCGGTTCCACGATTCCACCGAGCGATCTTCCTTCATCTAAAAATTCTACCTCACTGTCTGTCAAGGCCAAGGGCGCAAATTGTGCCCTCCTTTTTTTTTAATACATCACACGTAATAGCACTGCACGTAATAGCAAATAAAAGCAGGCTCCCTTTATAATTGAGCGTCTCTGAAGCCACGAAACTGATGGTCTGGAATTTCTCCCAGTGGATGACCGGTCGAGTGAACAAATCAGTGCTGCCGGCGTCGACTCTCAGTTGCCCGCGATGGACATCTTCCGACGGAAGTGACTTCAACTTTAACGGCGTGAGCATTTCGCCTGACTGTGGCGTACATAGCCAATCTCCGCTAGGGTACCTTGCAGGATGAGAGTGACAGGGCGTCTCATTCGGAATCCAGCTTCCAGCAGGCGCTCGTTGCCTTTGGCCGTGCTGCGCGTGCACGCTCGAGCCTTTCGAGACGCCGAAGTATTATCGAAGCTATTAGCGGCAAGATGTTTTAGTGGCGCCCTCCTATGGTCACCTTTCGTGACGTCATTACCTTGCGAACAACAAGTTCGATGGTGTTTGTAAGGAGCATGGTGGAAGCTTGAAATCATTGCGCTCTTAAAGCAACACTACCAACACCGTCGAAATTCAAGTTCTTCCATTCCTCTTATTTCTGTCGATAAGAAATCATTTGCTGACGTCATAGTCAGCATTCAGCCAATCGCGGAAGGCCGACCACAGCGACGCTTTCGATCGCGCAAGTCGCCAATAGGAAGCTTCAGCTAGTGGCGGGCCAACTGATATACATTCCTACGGTTCTCATATCGTCAACGGCTATAGTAATATTCAATTCGTGAAGTGTGACGAGAAGTATAAAAGGAAGGGCATGAAAACAAGCGAAAATGCAACTTACGGGTACAAACATTATTTTTCTAGACGTTAACGAGACCCTCTAATCGCCTCTCCTCGAAAGGTCAGCAGTATGTTTACCATGACCCGTGTCTCTCACGCGATCAGTTCTGTGTTGTTGCGCTGAAGACGTCAGGAATAAAGTAATAATACGCGCAGGTGTGCCGGTTATATTTTTGTGTGTAATTGGTGTATCAGATCTATATAGTGTGCATTACTAAAGGGGAGATGCAGCAATTTTTGTACTTTCAGTACGCTTTGAATTATTCCTTGACATTCTTAGCCTACAAAACACGCATTAATTTTTCTTCTCCACGGAGTAGCAGCCGTAGAAAGAAAAAGAATCGAGAAAAGAGAGCAACATTTACCCCTCAACTCGCAGCCAGAAGAAGAGGGCACGTGATCTGGAGCTCATTATATGCTCGCGGCCAATGCTTACCTTAACTGTGCGCTGGGGTTGGCAAAACACAGGGCACGTGCTTAGTTCCACATATTGTTAAGATTCGGATATTCCCGCATGTTGCGGCATTGATTGTCACGAGCACAAATCGAATGATCGCCTAGCGCTCAGATCTACTGTATAAACCACATTTAAATATTAGCACCGCGAGGATCAGAAAGTTTGATGCCGAAATCCTGGGGGTCGCATTGTCGACAATGCTAACGATGCAATGCCCACAACTTCGTCATCAAGTATTCCGATGGAGAGATTAAGAGAAAACGACCGCTTTTATCCTTCAAAGTGCGCAAAGAAAAACAAGTTTCGTGGTCAATGGCGTTGCGTGCGAATATACTTGGATCCCATTAGTGCCAGTAAGCTCGCGTAAAATGAGAAACATCCATACTCAGTATCGTTGCACTGCCGCTTTAAAATTAAAAAAAAAACAAAAAAACAGGATACCGTTACGACAGAACACGTGCCAGTCTCCCGGGGTTACCGGTGTCTCAATGTGAATGTTTCTATTATGCTTTCTGCCATTAGCAACCACACATCGCGAATGACAGCGGGTGTGTGGGTGCGCAGTGCACCGTTGCCGCGAATTACATCCAAGCTAGTATGTCGCAGCCTACATCGAAGCTAAAAGCAGACAGTGTTGAAAAGTATACAGTGTCGTTTCTGTTCTTCATCCGTGTCTTCGTTGTTTGTTTTGTTTTTTTCCGACGGAACAGCATTTTAATACAATGCGCAGTTACAAATGACGTTTCTTTATTTTCATTGGAAACAACAGCCGTAGAACCATTTAAGTCGTGGAGCAGGAGATCCAGGCGTCGTGCTTTTTGCAACAAAGTTGAGAACTACACCCACGATGTCAACAACTAAAATTAGTTATCTGTTTTATGTTTCTGACGCGGCTTTCGGCTGACGAAGCCGAACGTTGTGTGTGTTGTCAGCGTTCATCCGGGGCTCCTGTTCAATCAGCGAAGCACCGACTGAACATAGAGCCCGAGTCGAACGCTGACACAGCACTTGTGTCAGCCCCGCGCTTGATTGAGTCCACGGGTCTCGTGCTAAACACCAAGCTCTCCGAAAAAAAGAAAGAAGGAAAAAGAAGTTGCAGCACAGAGCTTTCTTTATAGTTCGATCGCCCCGCCAATAGCGTCTATTGTAGATTCTGCAAATTAAGAAAAAATGTGTTTAATTTTTTTCTTTTTTTTTTACAAGCATAAAATGCTTGTTAAAGCATTTGCTTTTACATTACATTTCATTTTCTTAGGAAAAAAAATTAAAATACAGTTTTTTCAATGGTTAAAAATTGTTTTCAAGAAACGTTGGAGATACTTCAGTCATTTTAGAGCGCAGCTCTTAGGCGCCCGTTTCCGCGTATAGCGGCGTCGCCGTCGCCGTCGGCGTAACTGCGCACGTTGCATCATGGGACGTCACAGACCTATACAGTATACACCGATTAAATTACCCGCTAAGTTGACCGAAGAAACTAAATCGGTGTGTAGGTCTGTGACGTCCCATAATGCAACACCGCGCATTCAGTTTCACCGCTAAATTTAGCGGCCCAACTGACGTCACATGACCTCAACATCAATTCAGTTTCTCCACTAAATATAGAGGGAAATTGAATTGGTGTTGAGGTCATTTGACGTCGGCTTTCCCTTTAAGTCTTGCGGAGAAACTGAATTTGTTCATCGGGGACGTGACAAGAAGTCATGTGACCTCATTTTCCCCTCTAAATTTAGCGAAGAAACTGAAATGTGTTGAGGTCACGTGGCGTCAATTTTCAACTAAATGAAATTGTGGGACGAGGAGTGGAGGAAGGGAGTGGGAGGAGGAGAGGAGGAAATATATCGGAAAATCAAAATATCTCAAGAGTTTTGCTCTAATTTCGCATTACAAAGATTTGTAAACGTCTTTCAATTTTTAATTTTTCTTTTATTTCACCTGTTTTTTGATTGCAGGTCCGGGAAAGCTTTCCTCGAGATGCATGGGACACCTTCCTTTTTTTTTTTTTACCGTCGCTTCGACAGATTTCTGGTCCTCCTTGGTTTTCTGTCATCTGGAAGCATTGATAATAACGTTTCTTTTTAAATACAAAAGTCACCTTCACAATCTTTTGAACGTTCTATGACAATATCGTCCTGCCTCTCCGCAGGCGTCGGTAAATGGTTATGCCCTTAATACATTTATTCAAAAATGGCTGTACTCGTACGATACTTTAAAGCTACGAGACGCTCTAAAACGCATTCGTTGTCTGTAAATAAATTATTTATATACATTTTTAATATTTTATATTTCGCCGAAGTGTTCTCAACGACTTTTGAGAAAAGTTGTAGTCTGACCTCAATCAAGTGTTGATATTGTAACGTGCGCGGATACGCGTTCTAACTTTGCTGTCTTGACGCTCAGGTGCAAAACGTGGTTGAAGGTTTTGTCGTGCTTTATTGTCGAGAATTGAATAGAACACAATAGACTCATGAACAACTTTGTGGCATTTCAAGAGAAGCGAATTAAGAGTGCGTGTGCACAGCTTTGATAGGCGCTCAAGACTCTCGAGCACCTGTGCGCCCATAGTTTTGACCAGGGTGTAAGATAGACAGGTGGGGAAACGAGAGCCAAATGAGTGACCGGATTGTGTCCCCCTTGGTTTTCTCTCTTTCTGTGGCGCCATCTATGTGGAGCACCGCGAACTCTCATTTCGGGTGGGCGACCAGTTGCGACCGGCTAAACTGACGGAGATGGTTTCTCGTGGATTTTTAATAGAAAACTGTCGTGCTCTCGTTTTTTTTTTTTTTTTTTTTTTTTTTTTTGCGCACTTTTTTATAAAGTTTTACGCAAATCCGATTACGGTTTTTTTCCTCTCGCCGCAGCGCCATCTGTCGCAAATTGGGGTTACCCGCAAGCAGACGAGTACACAATCCGGTCACGGCGCTGCGGTAGACTTCTATGGGCCGTTTCCCCACCTGTCTATCTTACACCCTAGTTTTGAGTGTGCAGCCACAGAAAGTTATCCTGAGCACGGTCGGACGAAAGAAAAACAAAACAAAAAAGTTTATGCGAACAAAGCTAAGCTACGGCTTGTCTCAGGGTGGCTCGATCATGACGTGCCTTGACACCAAACCAGTTTGTGGTACACAGCTTTTTCCCCATTTTTTGCTCTGCATGGGGCACCTGAAGGCGTCTCCCGGCTTGAGCTGTAACTTTAGCCTACTTTGGCAGTTGCCTCTCCTTTGTTTTGTATCATGCTATATCTTTTAGAGCGCAGCTCTTACCGCTCATTCACACTGGAAGCGGATCCGCGTTCGTAAAGCGGTTGCGAACGCGGATGCGCTTCCAGTGTGAATGAGCGGTTAGGCGCCCGTTTCCGGCTTGAGCGGCGTCGGCGTCGCCGTCGCCGTTGGAGTAATCGCGCGGTGCCTTATGGGACGTTTCCCGTGATAACGTCACACGTGACGTCACGTGTGATCTCACGAGGGTCACCGCGCGTTGCATTATAATTAAATCTCCCCGCTAAATTTAGCGGAAAATAGCGGCGAAGTTGCTCCGCTAAAATTAGCGGAGAATTTACACATAATGCAACGCGCGGTGACCCTCGTGACGTCATGATGGGAAACGTGCCATAATGCACCGCGCGGTGCCGCCGACGCCGACGCCGCTCAAGCCGGAAACGGGCGCCTGAAGGCTCGTTCACACAGTTGCGTTCTAAGCGACCGCTACGCTTACGAACGAATGCAACCGGTTGGAACGACGAGTTACCGTAGCAACGAAGCGCCAAGCGGTCGTTTCGTTCGTGTTCGTTCGCAACGCAAGGCGTTAAAGGGGTACTCCGCCGATTTCTTCATGGTCCCCGATTTGCTTGAAATTTTTCTAAACTCGCCAAACAACATCGCCAAAATAGTATCCCAAATATTGGGTCAAAATAATTTTTTTTCACGAAGTTATTGAA